GCGAACGACAAGGTTGTACTCTGCTGTCATCCGCCTACCTGAACCTTGACCTTCAAGGCGGTTTTTTTTCAGGACCTTCTATTCAAAATTTCGAAAGTATTTCTCGTCTCATGTATTCGTTCCACATGACCCGCCCACCCTTTAATGAAGAGAACAAATTACGAAGGTCTCTGAAGGTATAATGTTTAATTAAAAGTTTACCCGCATCACGTGGCAAGTGTCTGCGCTGTGGCCTTATTTCAACACTTAAGACTCCTGACCGTACAAATATCCGTGTGGCATTTCTGCTAAAAGGATACTGTAACTAAGGAAACGAGTGGACTTGACTGGACCTATTAAGATTGTGATTAATGAATGTGGAATCGGAGTTAGCGCAAAATGGGTTTATGATGAGCAACTAATATTTCCGGACCAGCAAATAAGGCTAGAGTATAGCCAATAAGATTATAATACTTCGGGTGCGTTAATAGTTAATTAAAAGATCATCCCTGTGATAAGGAAGTGTGGCTGGAGGTGGCGGTAGTAGATTTTGTAAGGAGTTGTACCGTCATTCGTCACTAAGAGGGAGAAAATACTAGAAAAATATCAGAAGTATCATGCCACTGAGGGATTGAAACTGGTAATTGGGTTTTATAGCTGATGTGCTGTAGTTTAGAGGGTAGTTTCCAGCATATTGGGCTTTATTGTAGTCTTATTTGCATATAGTTCTCCCAGCTGTTATCGCGGTTCAAAATTGTTGGGCCACATTAATTTATCCAAAAATTACTTAAAGAAGGCGATCGTGGTCTGTGTTAGGCACTGAGGAGAACAAGAAAGAAACACATTCAGGATAAAGATTTCTGTCTTCTGGGTTGTTGCGCTGTGTAGTCTGGTCGATGTTTACCAACGTTTCTGAGGTCATACTGCCTTCGTCATCAGGGCGATTTATATATGACATCTGAAACGTTGGTAAACATCTACCATACTACACCACGCAACAACCCAGAAGACAGAAATCTTCATTCTCATCGCCCTGATGACGGAGGCAGTATGACCTATGAAACGTTGGTTAACATCGACCAGACTACACAGCGCAACAACCCAGAAGACAGAAATCTTCATACTCACCGCTGTGATAACCTCAAATCATACATTCGGGATATCTGTCATACTATCCGGCAGTAGGAAAACAATCTCAGAAATATGTCGTAACTTTTAGTGCTAGCTTTACGGTGATTGAAGCACACACAAAGTCAGTCTGAAAGGTCGGTCAACTTCTACCAGACTACACACCGATGCAACCCAGAAGACAGGCGTCTTCATCTTAGCCGCCGTGAATACCTAATATTCGTCTGAGGTGTTTCTATTCCTTTCCGCCATTAAATGAATAAATACGTTGTTTAATGGTACGAGAAAATGTTTCAGAATTTCGTACAAGAGGACGAATCAATTATAATGTGACAGACGCCGTTCTTCCACAAAGAGAGACGAGTGTAACCCCGGTCGACCCACGGACCCTGTCTCGTTCTTTCTCTCTCTTCCTCTAGGCACGGCAAAGGGAAGGGGGCAGAAACTTGTAAGAATCAGTGCAACGGCGCCCCCCGCTGGTCAAATAAGTGGCTTATTATTTAGCTAAGTCAGGGACGGGTCCACTGTATACAAGATTTCAAATACGTTGACCGTCTAGTTATTGCTACATACTTCTAATAGTGATTAGTGTTTGGTCTCAAGTTAAGTGAAAAAAACAGAACGAGAATGTTTGAAAACAGGGTCCTAAAGAAAATGATTGGGCTGAAGTGGCAATATGCTGAAGAAAATGTTAACAACGACGAAGTTCGCGATGTTCAGGCCTTCGCCAAATATTATAAAAATGAAGATTTCTGTCTTCTGGGTTGTTGCGCCGTATAGTCTGGTAGATGTTTACCGACGTTTCAGAGGTCATACTGTCCCCGTCATCAGGGCGATGAATGTGCCAATTGGCGGACGAACAAGGAGCTTCAAAATAAAATATGAACACAATGAATCCTACTGTTCTTGAGTGGGATGACACAACATAAGAATCCCTTCTGTTTGCTGCCTTAAAAACCTTAAGATTTAAAGAAGAGTGTATTAGGTGTGAAACTGTATTTTATTTTCTCCAAATTTCTGCTCTGATACATTTCTCTTCTATTGAGACTGAGTTTGTTATCTGTGGAAAACTTTGTTTATGGTGATGATGATGAATGTGAATATGAAAGCGACTTAACGCACATGCCACTCGCATTAAAGCGTCTTAGTCCTCATGTGAGGTGTCCGTCCGATTTAACCACAGTCGGAATGTAGATCCGACATCAAACGTGAAAATCCGTTTAGCTGCTCTCGAGTTGCTGAGAATCTGTTAGACGCATTTATACAAGTTGTAGTTGCGATTGTATCAGAATCATTAGGTATTTTGGCCATTGAGTTTATGAATTTGCACTTGGACATGCCGTGATTTAAATTTTAAATGACATAATAAGTCAGCCTTCACGCACTCGCCAGTAGTGTAGCACACGTTTCGACATTTCTAACACCGCCAGACATTCTTATTATGATGATTTATTCACCAGCACAAATTTAAACCTGTTAGTTGCCCTTGAATCAGTATGGAATTGCGTTTTGTTTGTATCGTATTTGTTGTTTTGTCTGTGTGGGATTTGCTAACGGTATAAAAAAATCAATTTTACTTTTGCATTAAATTTGAGAGTACAATAGATTAAATTCGTGAAATGCTTACTGCCATTGTGTTCAGAATCCTTAATCTTCACGTCTATTTTAAAAGTATCTACTTATTAAGTCAAATGTATAATTGTACGGGTTATTGTTTGTTGGTTGTGAAATTTGGATTCATATTGAGGTCGTTTCAGGAAAGGGTGCATTTATTTGGAAAAGACTGCATTTTGACGAGCTCCATAATGTGTTTACTTTATCAGTTATTATTAGTTTCGTCATTTAAAGAGGATAAAAGAGCAGTGTATCTAGCATACATGTGGAAGATAAAAATGCTTAAAATTCTTTTGTTTTTCTGAAAAGCTGAAGGAAACATACCATTTGAAGAACCATGAATGGTAAGATATTTCTTGACCAAATGAAAGACTATCGAGTTTTAAGGAAGGGCTGTTGCCTACTAAGTTCTTTTGTTAGTTAGTTGGTATCAGGGATTATGATGTAAGGGAAATTAATAGGTCTGAATTAGTACCTATTTAGATGTGTCTGTTACAAAAAGTGTGACTACTGTGTAAGCCTGTGTCGCGGACTGAAACAGATCGAGTTTCAGAAGCTTTCCCCCCCAGAATACCAGACGTTGGACAATGACCACAAACCCAGTGCCAATTGTACTACAGTTATCGTCAGAATTTATTCGAACTAAGATATTTGACTTCTGACTCAACACGATTGCATAGTATATCTGGCGATATTTCAAATGACGAACGCGTAGCGTGTTAGTAGTGAATTATAAGTAAGTTTAGTGTCCTTCCATTTTTATGTACGTCGACAGCAGATACTTTCTCAGCTGAGCGTCAGAGTTTTTGAAAGGAGAGAGGGGGGATTGGATAAACAACTTAATGACACACGAAATTAATTACGAAACTCAATTTCCGTGACAGGGCTGTCGATCTTTAAGACTTCCATACGATCAGGTTTCATTCTTCAGAATTATGCTGGCGATCTGAGTGTATCTGTACGTCTAGCGTTACGGTTGTATATATCGTGGGATTTTTATCGACTTTTTTTTATAGAGTTAACTCTCTTCATGTTCGGAAAGTCGTATTTTGTAATTAAAGGTTTCCGTGCCCTTTTATATTTTTCAGTCAAGAGCAGACCGCTGTATTTTACGTCCTTTCTTTACTACCATCAATACTCAAATATTCTTGTTATTTGACTCTGCAAAACCTAAAGTTATATAGCTGAGAAAGTCATCGTTAAATATACTAATAACAAGTAACATCATCATGAGGAAACATGTTGCATTCTGTAGGGTTAGTAGTGTAGGTCTTCGAAAAATATAGTTTTATTAGAGCATCTCTCTCACGGCAATGGAATGATGACTTGATGACTGCACGAAATATCTTGCTGTAATGACACTAACGCATCATTATAACTGAACATGTAGCATTTATTTGTTTGGATTGCTCATATATCTATTTTTCTTTAACGTAAAATATTTTACTTCCTTATTTATGATGCTACTTCAACTCCTGGATGCAGCTTCGCGTAAAATTTAATGATTAGGTTTGTACTGAAAGAATTTTATGTGAGCCAGTGTGAAGGATCAATGTTTTCGAGTAGAACCTTACTTACTCGTGGCTTGCTGATAATGACTCTCTATTAACACCAAGCCAGACATTGAAAATGGCCGACAAATTGAGCGTAACAAAAGAGCATCATCTCCTTTTCATTATGTTGCACTGTTGGTGCATAAAGATTATAAATGGGGTTACGAGACCCACATTAGACTTTTTATTATTATATCCCACTTCATTTTAATTGCGTCGACTTGTTTATTGATGGGATTGTTGTGTGGGCTTGTGCCACTCACTCAGGGGGCCAATCTGACTGCAAAGCGGGATATTTCGGGTATTTTTCGTGTTTACGCTCCTCAGGCACTTTCCATGTCTTTCGCTTATTCAGGCTTATTGGTTGCTTCATAAATAAGACGGTTTACTAATACCATCCAGTGGAGTCGTAGGATTTGAGGTTTTCACGGCGGTGAGTTGGAAGATGGCTGTCTTCTAGGTTTTGCGCCGTGTAGTGTGGTAGAGTTTTACCGACGTTTCAGAGGTCCATGATGCTTCCATCATCAGGGAGCAAAAACCTATGTTCAAGAAATTTGTCGTTTCTTGTGGTACCCTGTGGTTCATTGCCTTGCACACAACAGTTCTGCCCTCTGCGCTGATCAAAATGAATCCAGTTCACAACCTCACAGACTACTTTATAACGAAAGTGCTTAATGAAACGCTCGTTGTTACATGAATCCGTGCAATAAATGTTCCCAGGTGAACCGACCACTCACCATGAAGAAGGAGGGAATCCAAACCCGGAACCGGAAGCTTTCCTCGAAATCCAAAAAGAAGAAGGGTGGTGTTCCGGGCTCGTGTCTGTCTTTAGGGGGGGTCATGTCTGACATGATCAAGCCCCTAGATCCCACCGGAAAGTCCGGGGGGTTTGGTGCCGGAACGGGAGGTTTTGGCTCCCCGATGGCAGGCGGCGCCAATGTGCACCCCCACCTGCATCCACACCACGCCGCCATGTCGCACTACATGTATCACAACACTCATCACCAAGGGTTCATGAACCCGGGTCCCCCGGGACCTGTGCCCCCACCGGGACCGCCCCCTCATCCCGGCATGCATCACCACCACATGACTTCGTTATCTGCCCTCGGGTCGGGCGGATTGGGACTTGCAGCGACGTCAAACGGAATGGTGAGTGAGTTGGCAAGTTTCATAACTTAACCACTTAACTGAATTCAATCAAATTTGGTATCTGCATGATGGATTAATTGATTCTTTGATTACTGAGCGACGTTCCTTAAAATACTAAGAATAATAGTGTAATTTTTGAACGATGGATGAACTAGAGAGTATGTGGGTTTTCAAGCTTTAACGGCAGCGATTATAAGGATGTCTCTCTTCTGGGTTGTGGCGCCGTGTAATCTGGTAGAAGTTTACGGACGTTTCAGAGGTCTCCAACGTCACCCTGATGTTGGAGACAGCAGGCATCTCTGAAACGTCGATAAATTTCTACCAGATTACACGGCGTAAAAACCTAGGAGACAACCATTTTCATACAAGATACATGGACTGACGATATCGTGAACTAACATAAGATAGTATCCTAGAATTTGGTTTCGGAGTCTGAGTCAGTCAAGATAGTCAACTTCCTGGCCAAAATATGAACCTCAGGGGTCCCGATGCGAAGCTCGAGTTGTAACCACTGAATACATCACGAAGTTTGGCTTAGATTTTCGGTTCTACGCTAACATTTTTTTATAGGGATTACTTTATCAGATTGCATATTAGGTCAACTTAGTTCACGTCAGAAATGAAGTACTAGCTAGGCCACTGGGCTTAACCCATGACAGTGTTGTTAATTGTGTTGTTGCTGTTAGTTTTTGCATTTCAAGCGTATAGATTGTACATTTTCAATATTAGTTTAAATTATCGGAAATGTTTTCACTAATAAATCATAATTACATTAATGAATATTTGATTTGAGAAACCCTTGACACAATACAGTTCAGAATCTGTGTCTTCCTGTCCACGTAACAAAAACAATAAATATGAAAATATACGAAACAATAATAATATATTTTCAACCCATAAAAGCCCAGTGGCAACTGTATGTACCTATCTACGCGAACAATCAACAGCCCTTTATGTTGTATTTATGGGTTTCATATGATTCTCACTGTAAGCAGAGATTATTTCCTCACTCAGCATTAACCAGTTGATCTTTGTAATGGTGAAATGTTGTGATTTCTTTGTGGTACGGACTGAATTATTCAGTATTATTTAGACGAGCTTCGGCTTCAAAGGTTTAAAGTATTGTGGTGTGAGGGTGTGTACTGGATCTTTCTGACTCAGGGATCACGAAAATCAGGCAACATCTTAACCATATGCTTGAATATTAGCTTCTCGAAAAGGCTGCATCGCGTTGTTACACTTGTAATTGGCCAGGCACTCATTAGGTTTGGAAGGTTGATGAAGCACGGAAATGTATTGTAACTGAACGTTGCGTTGTACATGAAATCATTGATATTGCCCATTTCAGACGAGCTGGAGGTCAGAATACACGTGATAGCTCTCCTGCAACCCAGCCGCCATCTTATCTTCAGCGACACTCACATTTTTGTGGTGGCAGACAGGTTGTTCTGGACAGTGTTCATGAAGCAGTAACACATTTCCTGTTCGAACTTACAGGAAATCGAACCAGTACAAAAATACAAAGTGTGTGTGCGTGAGTGTTGTAAATAATTAGCCCAGCAAAGAGTGCAGATCTAGTTTTACAGATACTTCACACTGAGCTATACGAATGGCAAAGATTTTTTTTCTTTTTTGAATTTCTTCTACCTTCTAGAAGCCATTTTGCTCCATTCAGTGACGCAGATTTCGTATAATTTTTACTGATTATTAAAATATTGTTGAAAATTCGAATGGTCTTGTCTGAATGTGTATAATTTCAACAAGTAAATCATACAGAAATTTGAATGCTATGACTGGGTTCTGTCATTTACTTAAGTATCTGGATTCATGTATACAGTGAAAACGTTCTTCTTAGGCTAGTTTTACATTATAGTAATATCATTGTACTTTCTGTTGCTGCAAAGTAAAATTTGAAGTGTTCCTAGTAATTTAGGAGTAACAGCGAAATTATCTTACTCTGTTACGATAAATACTTAATTATAGTTACGTTGCCTTTCCTATATGAGTCATGTCAAGATATAAATATTTAAAATTATGTACACGTCATAGCATCAGTATTTCAAAATAGTCAAATAACCAGCATTTATTTATGGTGTACAGAACAGCCAACAGTTTAAATTACTTTGATGAAATTCAGACGAGCAGGCTAAAGATAGCATGCGAAATATACTTAGGTGTAATCTTATACTTGCCATATCAGTGCTGGGTGTTCGTGTGTCATATATTTGCCCATTTCAAAATTACTCTACATCAAGTTAGTTCTTGAATTCCTTTTTGCATGATGATTCTTCAAATTCTGTTGTCACCAACTGTTTATATGCTGTAGTAATATGGCCGAATCAAAATTTTAAAGACTTGATGTTATCTCAATGTCTGAGTTAATTTTAGTTTTAGTCCTGTTGAATGAATAGGATCAACGATTAATGTGGCTTATCCCCAAAAAGCTCATGTTACGTGCCGAACGCCGGCTGCAAATACCTGAAGACAAGAACTGCCACGTATTTGTGTTCATATTCTACTAAAATTATACATTAAAATTAAAATGTTGAAGCTTTTCGTTGCGTATCGTCTTGGAAGGTGCCTAAAGATCCTGCTGTAACATGGTTATGATTGATTTATGCTATTCAATTTGGTAATATCAGTGGGAAATTTTGAGTTTAATTAAACAACCTATTGTGCATCATTCATATACCGAAGCAGACAAATTGTAGTCAAGGTAGGAAATAACATGTAATGTAACTCGTTACATTTATTCCTCACAACACCTAATACATTTTCAGTAAGCCTGCTGCTTGTTGAAGTATTCCGTGAAACTGATCTGCTCACTTCAGAGAGGCTTCAAATACACGTAGACTATGATCATGAAGCCATTCTACGAATTAATGGGGATCGGCTACTATCTTCATGTTAAATAAAGTTTGGTTATGTAGGCTACAGTCTTTTTAAAGATTAGCCTAAATAGATTAAAGAACATGATCAGTATTCAGAGTAAAGCACAATTTTGCAAGTGCCCGCAGAGATCAAATTGTACTGATGCTGCACAGATAAACTGGATAATCTGTAATCATATTTACGTAAGAGCAGACAATGACGAATGTGCTGTGTTCTAACTGCATCTTGAAACGCTGATCATGATCTTTAAATTTTCAACCCTTGAATACATATTTCTTGTATTTGTGTACACTGGACTTCATTGGCTTAATGGATAACAAAGTTTGCAGTATTATATGCTAAAAGTTTTAATATAAAATTATTTTGTTATTGATTTCTCCTCAATTTTTTAATCACGTGCACCTTCCACAATGTTAGACTCTTAAACAACAAATTATGTTTCAAAGAATTTTTTTCATTTGAAGCCATTGTTCACTGACAGAAATTTTACGGTAGTGAAGATTGAATTCTACACACAACTAATTATTATAAACGTTTCTTGTGATTAATGTGTCATAAAAGTAAATACATTTTTTTTGTAATGAAATATGCTGCAGTGAAGGATTTCAATGAACAGAAAATAAGGAGAAATTGATTATATTGTGAACTTGTAATGTGATCCCCACAAATATGTAGTCGAACAAAGCTCGCCCACAAACTATGTAAGAGACACTGGATGTTACCACTAGCGGTGAACTTATTAAATACGCAGTTTATAATAAGAACGTCTTTAGTGTTGTGTATTTGCCGCCAGTGGCAGCACCAATGCCCTACCACGTAGCAGCAAATTAATTTTGCACATTGTTAGGCCTTGTTCTTCAGGAGGCCATGACTGAGTGGCTGTTGATAATTTTTTAAATTAAATTAAAATTATTGTTGTACTTTTAAAAATAATGCAAGTGTGGTAATTATTACTGGTATTGAATGGCAGACACAAATTTCAAGAGAACATCGCTGAAGGGATATAATCAGAGAATATCAAAGCGCTCACAATCTTCATGATATGTTTACTGTGGGACAGAATTGACAAAAAACTTGATTAAAAACAATACAAGATTTCTGTTATAAAGTAGACGTTATTGAGTTATTGAGAAATGTAATATTTGATATTGACGTTGGTCATAGAAACTAATCAATAGATTTCGAAGATGACAGTTTCCACTGCTTCCATCATGAAGAAACAAGAGATGCTGAAAGCCATTTTCCTCTTTGAAAGTTACGTGGACTGCCATAATGTTTCCAATATTACGCATATTATTAGAATATTCATGCCAGCATTATGGGGCCATGATAAATGAATATTTTCTTGAGGAATCTCTGATTGCATCCCTTTTGATATGCACCTTACACTTTAAATATTTGAAGGTAATTTCTCCTCATTACACAATATATAAAGAAGAAGTTTTTCTAAATGTTTTTAGTCCTTCCAACAATTTTTAGGTCACCAACTTGTAAACTATTTTATGAACGAAAGTAAAAGTGGTTTTTGTGGCCAAAATCTCTGAAAAAAATTCAATGTTGTGTTGTTAAAACATGAACAACTTTTTTTAGTGTGGAACAGTGTGCATAAGATTTATCTTAAAATAATATTGTATCTAAAAGGTCCCCAAGTCTGTGTAGTCACACTCAGCCTGTAAATTAATATTATAATAATATGTTTATGTAAAATTGCATAAATCGAGATGAAAAACAGGAGTTTCTCTTGGTTATTTGACTCAATTTTGACAGTTTCCTTTCCTACCTAGTAACTAATTGCAATAGCTCACTTCATTCTGTTCTAGGGACAGACAGAAGCAGCCATCACTTCTGGATAAACTCCCACTCACTCTCATCCTGATAATCAGTTTCAAATATTACAAATAATAAAGCAGTATTAGAAGTTCGTGTCATTGGTACGATGAGGTCCAAAGCTTGTAAGCACTGAGCATTGTCATTTGCAATGCAATTTACTTCCTAAACTAGCAAACTCCGTACAGCAGAATCATTCTTTAAAAGCTGGTAGCTGTAGGCAGTTTTAGCATTTATTACAAGAATCTCAAGTGATTTCTTCCCTTCAGGTTTCCGGGCCAAAACTTTGTAGGCATTTCTCATCCCCCAATGCGTGCTATATGACCCGTGAAGCTCGCCTGTTCGAGTGCATGTATTATGACCCCCCACCCCCGTTTCGCGGTCCCTCCCCCCAGATTTGTCCTTAGCACCCAGTTCTCTAACATCCACAGTACACATTCCTACAGAATCTGGTTTACAAGCTGTTGACTATATGCACGACAAACCAGAAACCCACTCATCACTCATACTGCTGTGAAAACCCGAAATCCTGGAGATATAAATTCTTGGTCAGAAGAAACCTCACTTTTCATACACACTCTGTTTAATGTCCATTCACTTGAACAGATATAAAATTGTATTAAGTAGGTCTACTTGAGAAATAATCCACTATAGACATCATTGTATGATGTATAAAGTGATGAAATATCAAGCATGTTCCCGTTGAATGCCATAAACCAAACAATATCCTTGCCGGGATAATTAGTGCTCGAGCACTTGGCAAGGTCTTCCTTGTATGTACACCGAAGAACATAACAAAGCTACATTTACACATTCGTGATAACCCATAAGCGTACGTTATTTTGAAAACTCGCGTCTTGTGACCAAAGTAATGACTAGATCGTTAGTGCTGACATCTAGCGTTTTACATTCGTGATAACCCACAAGCGTACGTTATTTGAAAACTCGCGTCTTGTGACCAAAGTAATGACTAGATCGTTAGTGCTGACATCTAGCGTTCCTGTTCACAAACAGTATGTACCAAAAGCCCATCCTCGGTGACTCCAACCTGCGTCTGATAATACGACGGCCACTAAGTTCATGAAATAGGCAGGCCATTTAACAAAGATACTGATGCAAAGTGAAACAACTAGGATCTCCGACACGAATCTCACATCAATAACAAGTCTGTTTAATTATAATAATAAGATTCGTCTCTCATTCTGAGAGGAAAGGGAGACAGTGTTTATTTAAAAAGAAGTTATCGAATAATCAGACCTCAGAGAGACAAACAAGAAAAGGAGAAGAGAAATTTACGTATCGAAGAACTCCAAGATTTCTACTCTTTATCTGAGACTTTTCTAGTGATGATATGAAAGACAGATTACGTACTGGGTGTAAGAATACTTTCAAAATTCTATTTTGTGAACCACATGAGGGAGAGAAATCACTTAGAAGCCTTACTAACGGCTGGGAGAAAATACGTAAATTTATGTTAGTTACATAACTATGACGTGAGAATATAGACTATTCGTGTGGTTCCCAATAGGGAGGGACCTTTTGCGAACTCTGGTGATCATAAAAATTAACTTTCTTTAATAGCTGACCTACTTTTAGTTTCTGAATAAGGACTCTGCCTTTAGTTGTGAACTACAGAGTGTTCAGAAAGTCACGCAACCTTATGGGGAAATGCATGTTGCTGTTCAACATAAGTAATTGTTTTTTTGTCCAGGTGGTAAAGAACATTGAGTAGCCATGGGGTACACATTGCAGCAACGTATATTTATTGTCACGCAGTACATCCGCTCCGGCAGTTATGTCAGGACGCAGGAGGCCTTGTCAGAAAAGTACGGAACAGTTGCTCCAAACAAATCCTCCATCATGCGGCTACACGACAAGTTTCAGGAGACAGGGAAAGTCGAGGACGCATCGAGAAGCGGTCGACCAAAGGTGTTAACACAGGAAAAGTTGGTCGACGTGCAAGCTGTATATGCTGTGATGTTGCCTGTGCAACTAATTTACGCAGTATTAAGGAATTGCAAGCGAACATTCAGAATTGTGTAGATGCAATCCCATGGCAAACATTGCAAAGGGTCTTCAAGAACAAGATTAACCATGTCCACTTGTGTGAAACACAGAACGGCGGCCACTTCCAGCACTTACTGTGAAATAAATAGTTTCCCCATAAGGTTGCGTGACTTTTTGAACACTCTGTATGTGTATTTCTCAAGCTGAATACTGCAGTCAAATTTAAATATCTGCAAGAGACAAAGAACAGGAAATATTTCACATAAAATAAAGATAACTGAAACGTGTTTGATATTATGGAACAGAAGTATTTATTATCATTTTTATTCTGTGCAAGGATGGTTTCAAGTTGACTTTTGCAACATATTTTCTATGTGCTTAGAATATGCCAGTTGAGTTAAGATCAATTTTGTGTAAGTCATTATACAAGCATATGGCACTGCTTAAAATGACACTGAATTTTATGTGTGATGTGATTCATAATAATGTTCTCTGTTTTGTAATCAGCATCACAGTTACGTGTTTTTGTGTCATGTGAAACTACATCAGAACAGCACCATGTTACCAAACAACTATACAATATAATACATAAGAGAGTTACTATTTATGTTCTCAGCACAAAATACACAGAATGTTGATGAGCTTATTCAAAAAATGAAGAGTTAGGCACATTCACACCAAAATCCTGATCAAGCAAGAAATTATAACATTGACTAAAAACATTCTTCCTGCTGTATTTTTGCTCAAGATTCCATCCATTCATAAAGTAAATTATTCCTTTTAATTGTTAATTGTAATGGAGAAGAAATGAGGAGGGTCTGTATACGTAGGATTCAGATACATTCCTTAAAATACAATATGATCACAATATTAGTTTTGTTAATTATATTAATGACTCATGTTTGTTAAATAACAAAGCATGGTGATACTCTTGAATTTTGCAGCATAGTCGAGAGTTATAAAGTTAGAATTGTAGTTTCACTGTAATGAATCTTCTGCATATTCAGAACCATGTGGAGGCTTCACTTAACTAATGAAACCATGTTCACGAATGGAACATTATCATTCATTATGATTGTCTTTCTGTTTCATGGCTTTGGTAAATTTACGTTATGAGAAATATTGTATAGCATGTGTGTAAATGACATAAATATTATTTTGTTGGAAATTACAAATATTACATGTTCTTACTAAAAAAAATTCAGTGTGGTCATTATGCCAGTGTCCTGTATGAATGTTCTGTGAACATTTATTATGCTTAGACTGTGTTCCCAACATATCAAGGTCATGGTCAATATATATTATCAGCAACTTATATTCCTACAACAATTATTGTTTCGGGCCTAAGAATTTCATAAATGTTCTACCTCTCTGGTTTCTTGTGTGTTGGGTTAAACTGCGCTGAAATCCTGTTTATGTGATATAAAATTTAATTCTTGTAAATGGCCCTCAGATATCTTTTGTGAATTTGCCCACAGTTGAAGATGTGTAGCAAATTAAAGGTTATGTGAAGATAGTGAACACTGAATATCTTACAGTCTTCTTTTATGTTTGTTATTGTGCTAGAAGATTTATTCTGTAACTGAAATACTAATTTTTAATATCTAAGAATTTCAGATTAAAACAGAGAAAATAATAATGCACTATGACGTCAGTAAAATCAGGATTGAGTAGAAATTGTGCAGAGTCAATGGGTTGGTCACTCACCGAATAGGAGGCGGTGAAAACGCACAAATGGGCTGTAGAGCCAAGGAACAACAACAACAACAACAACAACATTAATTAAAGTTACGTAATTTCAGATAGTAACACAATAGGACAACCCTCGATCTGGATGACAGTACAGTTCGTGTTATTCTTTCTGGCCTCTCTTTTGTGGGTGCGCCGTGGGTTTGGACAAAGGGGTGTTGTTGTATCCCGAGCTGGGATAGGTTGGCAGGGCGAGCGAATCCGTTGGGAGGCAGTTCGGGGTGATCGAATTACTGAAAGCTGGAGGTTAACTTGAGAATTAATTACAAATAAATGTGGTACAGGTTGTTGAGAAACCCATGAATCGAGAAATGTTGATCTGCCTAAGCACGGGCAGTGCCGACTTCTAACAAGAGTCGAGTTCTTTCCAGCGTGGAGACGACCTAGACTCAAGTTCAGAGAGTAAATAAGGATGGTCGGCCGTCTTGGTTTTATACAAGTTTCGTGACGCCGACTTTCTAAATATGGTTACAAAATAATAGTTTTTGTAAAGCTTACTTCATCTCGGTACTCTGCCACTGCGTGTAGGAACTCTGGCTTGTTTACAGTATGTCCCATCACTAGTTGACCAAGAGGGTAAGCTGGTAAGCTGTCCCACTACACGCTATGTAGGTGGCTTGGGGGGAGTTGAGGTATAGCTCC